CTCGCTTCTCTCTCTCTCACTCTCTCTCACTCGCTCACTCTCTTCCTGTGTCCCTCTTTCTTTCTTTCTCTCTCTCTCTCTCTCTCTCTCTCTTTCTCTCTCTCTTTCTCTCCGTTTCTCTCTCTCCCTCTCGATCATCATTGGATATATAATAATTACGTTCGAGTGTCGGACGAACGATAGTTTCGTACTAGAAGCGCTGATATTCACGAGTGATCTTGTCGCCAACTTTGCCACGTCGCCAGGTCAAGTCGACAACGCTTCTCCGGTAGTCTTTTTGTCCACCACAACCCAAAACGTTCTTAAACTCGCTGCTACTGGTGGTGCTGGTGGTGCCGCTGCTGTTGTTGGTGATGCTGCTGCTGTTGTTGCTGCTGCCGCCGTCGTAGCTTTTCTTACCGCCCTTGCTCTTGCTCCTGCTGTTACCGGTGTTTATCGGTGGTCCAAACTTTCTGATCAACGTCAACTCTGGTGAACTAGGCGAGTAGTTCGCCTCTGTCGAGGATACGGACACGCCGACTTCGGTGGTCAGGTGGTGGTACTTAATGCTTATACTGTATGCTGAATGGCTGTAGTTGGTTCTTTGGAGGAACGTCTGGGAGTTAACCCCAAGTTAGTTCCAAATACGTAGGAACGAATCCCAGGAGCCCGTCGCTACCGCCATACCGTCCTCCGTGACGCCTAAGCAGGACACACGATTATCGTGGCCGGTGAGGATTCCTGTGAAACAGAAACAAGACGTTTCGAAAACACCCCTATTTTCAGCCTCTCACTTCCGGAATACAACCACGACTCTTTTCCCAGACTTGCAAATCTTGACTTTCCGTCTTGACTTAATGTTTGAGTGTTAGTGCGACAGTCAATGTGTGGACCACAGTCAAATAATTAGAACAGAAGCACGACGAAAATGGACGAAGAAAGAAGTTAACACAAAGGCGATAACGTCCTCTCGTTTTCGAACAAGAAGCATGTGAATTGGAAAAGGCTCCTTGCTAATCTAATTAGCGGCAAATTCAGGCGCCGACAACCGTCTAGTGCGTTGAATGTATAGATGGAGTTTCGCTCTCTACCTTGAACTATTTTAACGAAATATGGAACCAAAATGAAAGTAAAACAGAATTTTGTTTTAAAAAAGGTACGCTATGAGCCACGAGAGAAGGACTTAAAATAAAATTTCTCTTCTCTTCAAACGGAGCGTTTTTGATAAAAACAACAACGTACCAGCTCGTTCAACCTTCATGGAATCCCAGACATTGCAGTTGAAGTCGTCGTAGCCGGCCATCAATAATCTACCGCTCTTGCTAAACGCTACGCTCGTGATACCGCAGATAATATTGTCGTGGCTGTACATCGCCAGTTGCTGATCCGCCCTTATATCGAACAGTCTGCAAGTTGCGTCGTCTGAACCCGTCGCGAATGCGAATCCATTCGGGAAGAACTGCACACGACAAGAAATCAAATTTTATCATTCTTATTCTGTATAACTTATAAAACTCCACATCTGCCTAAACAACTATATAGCCTAGCTATTACATAGCCATATTAGTTATCGTCTAGCTAGTTATCATCTTACTTAACCACTAGATAAAAGCTAGATACCAAGAAAGTCTAGAATCTCACCGTGACAGCGTTGATGTCACTCTCGTGACCCGGGAAAGTCTGCTTGCAGGAACCCTCGCGAATGTCCCAGAGCTTTGCGCTGGCGTCACACGCACCGGAAACGAATGTGCGGGGGTCCGGTGCCAAGGACAAGGACATTACGTCTCCCGTGTGTCCAATAAAGGAGGTGCACTGTTGACCAGTTTCTATGTCCCACAGGGCACTGGTTGAGCAAAAAAAGTATTCGTTGCGAGGGGACTCAAACACTTCCACGGGTGACATAATTACCAATTGGGAAGCAAGGTACCCCGGGAGCAAAGGGAGAGGATGGATCAGGGTGCACTTTTATTGCTTTTCAACCTTGCTGCGATTATAGTGCAACTTTCTGCATTCAAATTCGACACTAGTCGACACAGTGATCGTTAAACGGAAGCAGGAATGAAATCGGGGATAGTGATTTTAAGAAGAATAAATATTCCTTACCAAGTCATGTCCCCAGAACTAGTGACAATCTGGCTATCATCGTAGAATCGACAGCAAGACAAGTACCCAGTGTGACCCGGGAGTTCTCTGCTGACTCTTACGTTTCCTTCCCTAGTTTTAAGACTATAGATGGAACAAATGTTGTCCAGGCCACCGCAGGCCACGTAACTACCTGACGGTGCATACGCACAGGTCATAACCCATGAAGAGCGCAGGGGGATCGCGTGAACTTTGTTCGTGGTGTAACTATCCCACACGATCAGCTTCCCATCTTGCGATGCAGACACTAAGTTTCTGTTGATCAGACACAAGAATCTCTGTTTGAATCTGCTTCATCGTGAAACTGAACTAAAACCAGACAGCGGACCCTCATGCAAAACAAAAATTTTCCAATGTAATCCAATGAAACGAGGATTACGTAGAAGGTAATTTCTCTTGACTATCTTAATAGGTTGAAAATAGGTAGCATCCTCGAAACCACATGAACACTTCTCTCTTTTACTTTCTACGCATCCGTATTTATCATTAACGCAGAAAATCCGCTGTCTATCTATAACCTAGCGTGCGCGTTGGAAGGTACCTTGAGTCACTGCCCCAATGCATCGCGTAAATCTTGGCTAAGTGACCGCGAAGTGTGCGTCTCGTGCGCATCTGTATCCGGCCGATGGGCTCCATGCCCGATGTGGCCTGGACCAGCGTCGTGTCGCATGCTGCTTTCCTAGCATCCTGAACAACAAAAATTCAGCGAATTAATGAGACATCGAACGTTGAAACGGCGACATTCGATTCTCTCATTCATCCTTTCAACATAAACGCTCCGCACACATGCCGACACAGAACTCGCCGCATTCAGAGTGCACATCAATCGACCGGGCTAATGAGCCTCGCGCAAAAATTTCGTCCGAGCTCATGATGCGCGTGCACAAACCTCATCGGCGAAAGGTCAAATGTCGCGGCCAGGAGACCGATACAATTCGCGAAAGGTGCCGCAAACTACGGAACCGATTCGGTGAAAATTCGGGCGAATTTTTCATTTAAGGGGACAGGAGAAAGGGAGGCTGGATGGGCTCTTTCGCGTTGACCTTTCGGCAGCACAGTGAACGCAACAGCGTGCTCATTCGCGAAGAATGCAGTCATGATTCAGTCGCAAAGAGTCCTAATTAACGGCGCGTTTCGTACTGGTTACGCGGAGGGTGCCACGGGCAGTTTCCAGGAAAATGTCGATGAACGTAGTCGCCGTTACACTGTTACGACGAAATCGAAATAGTCGAAACCGGAAAAAAGAGAAACGAGAAAGAGAGAAAGAGAGAGGAAGAGAGAAAGTCGTTGAGACATCGTTGATGTATTTTAAAAACGTTCATTCTATTTATCGCAAGCCGCGTATTAGGCGTGCACGGCTGACGACGCGTGTAATTTCACGCACGCTGGGCGAAGGGAGAAAGAGAGAAACACGCGGAGAGAGAAGAAACAAGACCGAAAGCGGGAGAGAGAGAAAGAGAACGAGAGACACAGAGAGAGAGAGAGAGAGAGAGAGAGAGAAAGAGAGAGAGGGACGGTGGCGTATTGATCAGAGAGAAGCGACGGTTATGCCGCGCCCTACCACCACCACACACCACACCACTACACCATCTCTCGCTTCCACGTTTTCACCATGCACGGTGAATCCACCGATCGCCATCGATGAGGATTTTCTACGGGGAAAGAGTGTCTAATTCGCGCGGACACTTTCAACTGGCACGGCCGATTTAAACATAAACGAAACTAATCGGCCGATGAAATCCGCGGATTTCGCCGGGCGGTTGTCACGGGGGTTGAAAGCTCGAACACGAATCGCTCTTTCTTTTTTTCTCTCTCGTTCTCTCTCTCTCTCTCTCTCTCTCTCTCTTCTTTTCGTACGTGGCATAAAGGGGATTCGCATTGTTCGATCTTACATGCTTGAATCGAACGAGAGGCGTGTGGCCCAATTTCTCAAAGAGATTCGGAGATGATAGGGCAGGCAATCTCATAATACTATTAATAAAGGGATTTTATCGTGATATCGAATATCGATTTTCAAGGGAGTAAAAAAAATCAGCTCACCGGGTGGACACTCGGTGCGTACGTTTCGAGTAAGCGACGAATTACGTGTGCGACGCGCACGGATGAAGGAAAAATATTAATTGCGACGCGAGGTGGGGGAGAGGGATGGCGGTCGTAGGTGTACGACTGTGAAATCTTCGTGGGCGTGCGGAACAAAAAGAATTGCTTTTTAAATAATGTTTGTGATTTTGTTTCCAACCCTTGGTCTCGAGCACAACGGAAAATAAAAAATCGCTGACTCGTTAGGGGTAGAATAGGGGTCGGTTGTTTAATGCCAAGTGCACTTCGAGCGGAGAGAGACGCCCTAGACTTTTTTCTTTTGAGACAATACACCGCTGTTGCATGGAGAACTGTTGCTTTGTCCCTGATGTCTCCGAGACCGCCAGCAAACAATGAGGATATGCGAAAGTGTCGGGCCAATTTCAGCGACGCACCTAGGCCCTTGTCTAGCGAGCAACGACACAACTCGACCGTATCGTGAAATAATTCGTACCGAAACGCTCGAGGGGTTAACATCGAACGGGACACCGCCCAATGATAGCAGAAGTCGCTATCGTTTACGGTTTCGAGATAATTCATTGGCAGGAAATTGTGATATGGAATTCCGCGCCATGTGCGGGAAAGATACAGTCAAACGGATCCACGGGGAACAGAAATAAAACGGTCGTCCAAAAAACTTTCTGCCTTATTTTTCAATCCTCAACTGTATATCTGAAACGGTCGCATATCGGAAGTCTTTGTTGCTACAATAATACAAATTCCGCAAACACTGGCGGCATCGGTGATCCAATGAAACACAAAATTGACTTTTTTAATCCATTAACCGAGTGATTCGTTCATTAGAAATTCGGAATAAAATAGTAACAATAGAATGTCGACAACAAAACCCTTACAAGCATACACAAACAACGAATCAACTCAACCTCTACGATCAACGACACGTTACTCGTACACGCCGCGACAAAGGACACCTGTACAACTGTTTCAACGGGAGTAAAAAGGGGTGGGAAGGTGAACTTACTCGAACAGCATTCTTCAGAGCCTCCGCCTCCTGCCGAAGATTGTCCAGCTCGCTCATGTTGCCTGTCTAGTGATACGTCGGCCACGGGAACACCCGCCAAGGGTGGAAGAGGGTGTCTCGTGAGGAGGTGGAGGTGGTTGAACCTCCGGCGAGCCTTGGAACGTGGTTTTCGAGGGACGAGCGGCTTCTATCTCGTTTGCCTTCTAACCGGAAAGTGGTCGGGGCCCTGTGTCACGCCGTCGACGCTTCTTTCGACGGCCAACGTGGGTCCTCGAGCTTTCCACCACCGGGAACGGGTGCAGGAGGAAGAAGAACGAGACGAAGAAGATCGAATCCCCACCTCCGGCAGGCTACGCCGATCTTTCTCAGGCCTTCCGTCCGATCCGCTGCTCGCACGACTTCCTTTTCCGCCGCTACCACCGGTACCAGAGTCAGGCCACCGCCGACTCTCCCGCCCCTCGCGCCAGCTTCGACACCTCCTAGCGAGACCGTTGCCACCCCTAAATAATAAATTTGTGGAAATTAGATTTCTTCTCGTACGAGTTTCTTGTTAAACAATCAATGGTTACGATAGTCAGAGGCAAGAAACATTGGGGATACAGGCAAACTGAGTTTTGTTTCTGTGATACTTTAGGCTTGGAGGTTTGCGGTAAAGATTATGGTCCAAAGATCACGGAACTACTTCTGTTTTGTACCAGTTAATTAAACGTTAAAAAGAATTTATCGTCGGCGGCTACATAAGCCGCACATAAGGAACACATTCGTTGTTCTATTTCCATCGTCAAACTCGGCGCATTCGTGTCACGGACGGCACATTTTTTCGTTTGTGCATTAGTAGAGCATCATTAATCTTCCGCTAGATAAAGAAGACACTCTGTTCCCGGTTTCTACGAGAACCGACCCTCGCCCCCTCCTGTTCCCGGCTCGAATTCACGCGGCTCAGCGAACTCGGAGGAAAAAAGTAATGCTCCTCGAAACGGGCGTCGCACGCGCGACCATCTCGCCGCGAACGCGCGTCCGCTATTTTTACCTAACGGACCGATCGCGTTCGGGGCGAGCGTTTTCTACGGACCTACAGGGAACTCATTGAAACACCTCTCGACGAAACTCACGATCGCGTCTCCGCGGCGCATCGACCATACTCCCCGCGATTCCGCGTCAGTTCACTCAAGCATTGTTCGCCTCGCGGAGCGAACGGCTCGCCCGGTCGGTGAATTTTTCAGGTTCCATCGGAATTCGGTGGCAACGAGCGTCCTTCACCTCCAAAAGGTCTCACAACCCGGGGAATCCGAGGGTTGTCGATCTAACGCAAGTTGTTCTCATTTTCCGGAACCGATGGAACCGCTCGGCGCATGAGCGACCACGGTGTACCACCGAGGACGATACCGGGTGTCTCGATAGAGGCAAACCTGCCCTCGTCAACTCGATGAATCCATTTCCCTCAGCTCCTCTGACAAAGCGAACAGCGTGAAGCCAATACGCGTCACGCGAAATCCAAGTTTCAACCCTCACGAATTCTCACACGTCTCCCTAGGGTACACAAGGGGTGCACTCCGCTTAATATTCAGGCATTCCCACCTCACTTCCCGTATCCACTTCACGCGAAACGTCCAGGAAACATCCAGAACAGCGAAGCGAAAAGAGGAACCGCGTTCGGCCGGGACTTACACGCTCCGTCCGTCTTCCACTCTTGTCAGAGCGTCATGGATTCCGAAGAAACATAACCTCCAGGCGTGCAAGGCTCCCGAGGAGGGTGAACAGTAGCCTTCCTGCGCCCGTGTTCTACCGCCAGATTGCGCCCCCGATGGAACGCCAGAAATTCCGGCGAAGGTAGGTGCCCAGGTAAGGCAGAAGGCCGAGACGAAGGGGTGGCCTAGCACGGAAGAGGAGCACGCACGCACACGTAGTACGAGGAGGACCGGTGAAACGCGCCCATTGGTGCGAGTTCTCTTTTCATGCCGCGTTCACAGGAACCGTCGAAGCAAAGAATCGATGAACAGAGTCGGTGGCTCGCCCCACTCGCGCCGTCTCACTCCTACCCTCCCTTTCTCACTCTCTCTCTCTCTCTCTCCAGCCACCCTACTCGCCACTACCCTCTCTCCGCCTCGGCTGTTGCTCAGTCAGGGTAGCACACGCGAGCGAATCTCGTCCACTCGCGAGACACGCTCGAATTCCGCGTAAACCGGGAAGAGACACCTGAAAGGTGTACGCGGTGTCTCGGAACACGGTGTTGTTGTTCGAACCACACCCAGGGAGAACGACGCGCGGTGGTGTTTCGAGAGAAGACCGCCTGGGCGGATGAAACCAAGAGGGAAGGGATGAGCGACGCTGGCGCCGCGGCGCCCGAGTACCGGCTGACTACCGGCGTCGCCAGGACGCCATTGTCGAGCGTGTGACAGGTTGCCGTTGGCGGTTCTGATACCGTGATAACTGTCCCCGGATTTCGAGTACCGAGAGAAAGGTTTGACAACGATGGAGTCGATAAAGGGACAAGTTTAGGGGGTGGACTTTTTAGGTGTCCTTCAGTTACTCTGGGTCTAGGCACAGTAGGGACTGACTGCGAGAAGATTAACATAGTAGGCTTCCTGTAAACCAGATTTCAAGGAGGTTGATGCATCGAAAATTTGCTCGTTGGTGGCTCCCCAATTACTTTAAAATTCTATTAATTCCTGAGAAACGGGTGTATCGATTATCTCTCGAAACAATTCCAAAAGAGCCTAGATACGGAACAGCGAAACGCCTGTAGCTTTTCGATAAAGACTGCTCGAGTTGTAGTCGAAAAATAAGGAAACGTTCAATCTGGTTTCGCGTGGAATCGAGATCCTCCCCGGAGGAATGCGTAATTAACGGAGCAGACTGCGTTTACGAGATTCATCGCGGAAAAACTGTCCGTCCTAACGCGTTTGACCTACATTCCGTTTATCGCCCTTATCAAGGAAGAAGCGTAGAACGATTCCCGTGTAGTAATATTCACGGGGTCGTCCGGCTCTCTCATTCCGGAGTCATTCGCGGCTGGAGGGGGGCTCGCGGACCTATCTAACAGAAGGCTCCTCTATCATCGGAATCCCTAGGCCATCCTACACGCGTTCCCGGATGCACGAATCGGAGCAACAGTTGAACCACGCGGGTCAACGTCCAATACGATCTTTCGCTTGCCTCGCCTCGCCTGGCTCTCTCGCTCTCTCGCTCGTTCTCTCCCCATCTGCTTCGAACCGGCTGTATACAACCGCGAGGCTGCCAAGTACCTCACACCAAGTGTGTACTCCGACCAAGTCCCTGGCACGGCCCAACGGTCTTTACAGGCGGTGACAAAGAATGGCGGAGAAGCCACGGAAAGTCTATCCGATACGCAACTTGTCGACCGTTCACGACGGACGCCTGTTGGCGTTGCACCTGCCAACGCTCCGGTTGCAGTCAACGAGCACCGACCCTTTGTATACCTGGGTCCAGCCCCAATCATCGACGAACTCTCTTTCCCTCCGGTGAAACCGATCGAAAACGATGGAAAAGCGAAACATTATCGTCTAGTGGGTAATCTGGCGGATAGAAAATCCTAATTCGCTAATTGAAACTGTTACGATCGAAGTAATTGCAATTGGTTTCACAGAATTTGATATTTCTATCTTTTAGAAAGTTTAGCGAGATCCATCGACGGAAATACATGCAGAAAATCGTGTAAAAAATGCGTTAGGATAGTCGAACTCGAGTGTTGCCGAGGTCCTTCACCCTCGCAGCGAATATCTTAGAAAACTCGTCGGTGCTTCTTAGAACCCACACGATCCGAGAATCGCAACAGCCGGTCGCGAATAATTGAATCTAAATGGCAATCGAACGGACCGTAACGATATTAATTACCGCGTATTCTCAGGTAAAGCGGCTTCGTTACAGCGCGCCGCTTCCCTCGGAAGAACGATAGAGCGGTATTACAGCTGATGACTGTAATTCGCATCAGCGGACCGACCTACTTTCGAAACGCGTGGAATCGGAGAGGATCAGCTTCCAGCAGCGACACGAAGTGGCTGTTTGCCGCTTGGTTCCGCTGATAAACTGTCGGTTTATCGATGGGGAACCGGCTCGCGGAGGCGAAAGCTCGAATGAACTTGGATCGGGGAGACGCCAGCCGCGAATTTACCCCGGCCGCGGCGGAGGGTCGCGGGAGATACACTTTTCCGCGCGAGTCTTCGACTTTCGGCGCACACGGACACGGCACACGTACAACTCTGTCTGAGAATAGTACGAGAATAAAGAACGCGTCCGCTTAAAATAAGCCGTGACGCAAGGCGATCGATCTATCAATCAATCTGCAAACTGCACCGCAAAGAGAAACACTTGTTCGTTTTGTTCGACGCGTTCTCCCTTTGAAAGCATCGATCGCGAAGACAGACATAAATTGCGCCCGCGAACCTACTCCACTCCCGCCGATGCGTTTTACGTGCCTTCGGCTATGACTGCCGAGGCAATCGCGCGCATGTGTGTACTCGTATCTGTGTACGGACGTGTGTGCAGTACGGGGGCTATCGATAGAGCGCGAGGAAAATTAAAAATTAACCCCGATCCTTAAGAAACCATTAACAATGCAGAAGAGTTAATTCAGGTGCGGCTGTGAGTCACCAACCTGTGCCGCCGACGTGTTTCATTGTCGCGTGCGACTCCAGCGTTGCGGAAAGCAGAAAAGGGCAGCGTAAAGGCACACGGATCGACTTCGACGGAAGGAAAACCAACCCCGAAACCAGCTGCCGTTTGTCCCCAGGAGGTCCTGAGGGGCGAGCAAGGGACGACGGAGGGGTTACAGGGCTTTCGATCGATACTTTCTCTCAAAGAAAACATTGTCCCGAATCCATGCGAGTATAGATCCCTGCGGAGGCATACAAGCGTGCTCGCGTGTGTGCGTGCCTGGAGATCGAGTCAATCGAGGAACTTCGGGGATGGAAAACTAAGCGAGACGTGTACGTTTCAGCATATTAAAACTTTCATTGAATTTAATGAGCTTTTCCTTTAAGCAACTCTTAGTAATCTCGATGAACGAACCACGCGAATCAAAGGAAGTTCATCTAATTTTTTTCGTTTCTATGAGTTTATCATAGATCAAGAGGAATTTCAGTTTGACTCCATTCCCTGCGACTCGGTCCGCGAATATCCGCGCCAGCGTAAAAGTCCGCAGTCGACTAATTAGCCAGCAGAAAATTCTTCTGGCCCCCTAAATTTTTCACGTGCGCGACGATCAAACATTCGGATGGTCGGGTGAGGGGCGAAAAGGAGGACGTACAGGGTTGACGAATCCCAAGCGACCTGGAGCGGGATGGGCGATACATTGCGGAGAGGTGACGGCAGGTGAATGACGTCAGAAGGCGGACCGTGACGTCAGAAAGTAACCTGAATATGGAAGCTCCGATACCGGGAGCTTTCTTTCGACTGTTCGCGACCCGGCAAGAAAATTCTATTTCGTCCGTGGGTTTAACGACTCCTTGGATCGACCATCCACCGTATTTTCATTCGCAGATAAAGATATCTTAATCAAGGCGAATTCGAAGGGACGAACGCCTCTGGCTGGTTGATCCCGACGCTAAAGAGTTCGATATGTACAGAACGAACTCCGCGTCGTTAGACCGCGCGAAGAAATTAAGCCGCGAATAGACCGTTTCGCTATTTTTACGGATCACTGTGACGTCAGAGGAAGGGAGCGAAGAAGCAGGCACTTGAATGTTTGGATTATCCAAGAATCCAGAAGGCTGGAAGAAATTAGGATTCAGGGAAATTGGACCACTATCGGAGAAGGGAGTTCGTTTGACCTATTGCTCCGATCCGATATCATTGTCGTGTTGTCTGCCGCGCACTGTCGACCGTGTTTCTCGATCAATGAAAAATTCTTCTATCAGTCCGCAATTAAAGTATTGCGGCGAGAGAAAGACGAGGAAAGAGCGAGAGCGAGAGAGAGAGAGCCAGTTATTTCTCTCCCGGAGAGATTAAACTTCCACTCGTGCGAACTAAACTTCTCGTTAGTTCGTCGACTAATTCGGGCAGAGAATGATCTCGTTGAAGATTCAGTAGGTCCCGGAAACAGAGTAACCGACATGAAAATTCAAGCTTGTCGGGAAAGTTCAAGCCTAGCCGGAGCAGCCGACGATGCGAGCTTCAGCTTTTAAATCAACAACCCTTCATTTTTTTTTTGTTCACCGGCTTGTTTTCTATTGGTCTGCCTGTTCACCGGGCAGGCAGAAGAAGGGGATAACCCATGGCGGACGAGGGGAACTCGTAACAGGACGTGACCCCGCAGTGGAGAGGAGGGTTGCAGGGTGACAGGAAGGAAGGGAGGAACAGGGGTTTGCCAGTGGAATACATCATTGGCATTGCTTTCGCGTTCGCTGAGTAGCTGGCGACCTACTAACCGTGCTGCGAAACGCGATCATTATTAACGATCATCGTGTTTTCTATCGGGGAAGCCGCATTATTCGAACAATCTACGCAACGCGAGTACTTTACTCTGTTTCCGACGGTTCTATAAGTTTTCACGCTGTACGCGGAGTGGAAAATATTATACAAGGACCAAAGTGCAATGACGATTCAATTGGAATTTGATTAGGTGCCACCCTGTTATCCTTGACATTCGATTTTCTCTGGGAAATGTACACCGTTTACAGAAAACTCACGTTGGTCAATATTTCGCGCACGACTCTGATAAAATGATAACGCTTCCGGGATGCGGAGGAAGATATCGGGGCAGAATCGATCGTATCTATCTTAACGATATTACACCGCGCCCGGTATTTCGTGTAATTAGCATCTATCAAGAAAACGAAAAGAACTTCTGCTCCCGGGCATGTAATTGCATCGAGCGAGCGAGCGTGTCCGCTAACGGCAAGTCTGCGAAACCATCGATTTTTCCCAGTGGTCACCTGGAGTGCATCTAGGAAACACCTTCACGCTGATTCCGCATTCGAAAACCCGGTGTTGGAATCGAACGGGGACTGGCTGAACAACATCTCCGTGTGTTACCCAGCAGGCCTTGGCCCATTAATCAATTATTATTATTATTAATAACATACCGTGCGCGCGACGCAGGCTCGTTCTTATCTAAGAGGATTTCGACTGGTTCGAGCGCGGCTTGATAAGGCAGTATTTACAGATACTGGAATCTAGACTGCTCGCCCGGCCGTTATCGCGAATCGCGAGCATATTCTAACACGACCGACGAATAGGGAGGCTCGCTTTGGAATAATCACTTAGAACCGGCTCCTCTTAAGATGGTCAGGATTTCAGCGATGGATCGATAGGGCAGCAATATCGTTCTCACGTGTATCGACCGGGAAGCGCGCGCTTATCGAAAGAGCCACGAATTCACGGTTATCTGGCCGGATCTCTGAGTCACTTGCAGTCGAATGCAATCGATTCCCGGCCGATCAAGGGTGTAAGACCGATAACGGAGGCGCTATCGGCGTCGCATCTTTCGAGTGGAACGCTGTCAATTGGAGTCGAAGAGACACCACTTGTCTTCGAGACTGGGACGACTTTATATTTCGAACCAATTAAAGACGATTAAGACAGCTGCCGCAGCAATTGGCCGGCCAATCCCGAGCCAGACCGCGTCGTGCTCCGACTCGACGGCTTTTTTCCGCTTTGCCAGAACCGCGACCGTTTCTTCAGACGAACGAAGCACTGTTCATCGTTTCTCGATGTCGCGAGGAGCGTATTCGAGTTGAATCAATCGGCAAATAACTATATCGCCGATAAGAATGATAGATACCGACGTTAGCCGACGGTTCATCAAGGTTGTCCTTCGGTCATTCTGTTTCCTTCGTCGTTCATTTTCCCCTAGGTGACTCATCGGCGAAGCAAATAACTTGACCGCGCGAAGAAGAAACACGCCGACGATAACGAAAGCTCGAGGCATTACCGGCGATTCGGATCGTTTCGGTTGTCCGTTCGGAATCGGTTGTTTTGAAAATTAGCTGTTAGGTTTCCTCCTTGGTTCTTGGATGCTCAATAACATAGAATAAGACAATATAAATGTTTGCATGGAATCTCTTGGGTGTAAGATTTGAACTTGACGAAGATCCTGTTGGAACGACTATCAATACAAGCTTAACGAAGTATTAAACGCGCTACGGTACCATTAGACGCAATAAAAGTCATTAAAAGACGATCAATCGACTACAAATGATAAGCTAACTCATCTGTCATTAGCCAATTGATCCTGCTGTGTTTCTCAGATATGTATCCTGTACATAATGCACCGGAACAAGATCCCCGGAATGTGCCGAGGAAGTCGGCGCCCGAGCGTCGAGTAGCTTCGCCTCGGGCAATAATTATGAAACGTGGGACCGATGATGAAAGTGTCATATTTTCGGCGGACACGTGTACCCGATGCACAAAGAGCGGCGTCGCGGTATTTTTATCCGGCAGTTTCACGTTTTCGCAAAAGTCTCGCGTTCTCGACGCCGGGCCGGTTTGTTTTCGCGATGATTTCGACCTCGTCCCTCCCGCATTATGCAACACACACCTTCCTTTATTACGGCGCCCGTGCGCCGCGAGATAACTCGCCGCGGAGCCGGCCTGGCAGTCAAATAAACGTCAACGGCGCGGTGTCACAGGGAAAACATTTTC